TGCTAGACGCCATCGTCAGGCCTGTTGCCTCAAAGTGTTGACAATGTTCACTTTTTTATATATATATATATATATATATATATATATATATATATATATATATATATATAGCTCATATATATATCACAGCTCATCAGTGTGGCAAGACATCAGGTTGCCATTAGCTGAGATCGTAATATATATATATATATATATATATATATATATATATATATATATATAATTAATGTTGGGGATTTAGGCTCATAGCAATAATTCTAGAAGAATCCTCAACAGAATGCAGAAAGCACTGGACGGCCGTTTCGTCCGATCTGGGAAAGCAGTCGTGGCTCTTGGGGCACTGTTCCGAGTTTATCTGAATACTTGGATGAGTATCGCTGCGGAACTGGATGCGCACTGCTGATGAGTCCCAGATAGAACGAAACGGCCGTCCAGTGCTTTCTGCATTTTGTTCAGCAATTAAAACTAATTGTCAGACTTTGTCCATTTCATAATATATGACGTCATTTGTTTACGTTAAGATACGGTTCGAGCAGATATGAGCGATCGAGAGAAATTATGGGAAATTTGTAGGTTAAAAGCAGTAATTCGACCTTGCTAAACAGTCGCTTCTTCTGTAGCTAAATGGTATAGCACGTTAGGCTATATGACGGATCCGTGTAGGATACACTTTCGATTCCTGTCGGAGGACATATCTTCTATGAAATTTCTCGGATATTCAGGCCGGTAAATGTTGTTAATGCTGCCTATCGTAAGCAGAGCATTTACTTGAATATTTGTATCTATGAAAATAAGGTATAAACAGAGAAGGTTTTAGCATATACAGGCTGTTTCTTTTTTTTACGTTTTTATCTCTTTCTCTTTCCCTGTCTCTGTCTCTTGATTATCTATCAGTATATCTATCGGTCTATCTATGTATGTCTCTTCCTTATCTCTCTCCCATTCTCTCTCTCTTTCTATCTATCTATGCATACCTTTGTTTTTCATTCTCATTCTCTCTCTCTCTCTCTCTCTCTCTATCTATCTATCTATCTATCTATCTATCTATCTGTCTGTCTCTTTACATATTTTGACATCCAGTTTGGTTTCTTTATTTCTACCCCTGCTTCTTTCTTTCCTTTTTTCTTTCTTTCTTTCTATCTATATATCTACCTATTTATCTATCTCAATCTTTTGTTTTTCTTTCTTTCTTTTATATTCTAGTCCCATCTCCTCTTTTCTCTCTCTCTCTCCGTTTATCTATCTATCTATCTATCTATCTATCTATCTATCTATCTATCTCAATCTGTTCATTTCTATTTATCTATCTGCATATTCAGAAAACGAATATAACTCCACCAAAATCATATTAAGTACTAATTACGACAAAAGCTCTTTGTTTCCATTGTCTTTGAAGAATTCCTTACCACAATTAAACGAGCTTTGAGGCGTTTTAGCGGCGACGCATCTGCGCCTGGGTTGGGTAGGTATTGACATGGGTGTGTTTGCATTCTGTTTGTAAGCCCTCAGATCATCTGCCAAAAGAGACACACCCTTGAACCAAATAACACAGAGGGTCACAGAAGTTCTGATCCACGTTTAACCTCCGAGAGACAGAGAAAGAAAGGAAGAATGAAGACGTAGAATGTTGTCGTCTTTGTAAATATTTTATTGTTTCCAGTTTTATTTTCTCTTTTTACCTTCTAAGCATTTTTTGTCTTTTATTTTTTCCTGGTTTAATTTGTTTCTCGATTCCATTATTCGAGTTTATTTTCCTAGAATTATTTGATTTATTTTAAATTCTTTTTGTCTTCATTTCGTTTATTACTAATTTTCCATTTTTATTTCTCGATTTTCATTCGTTCTTTCTTTCTTTTTTCTGTTTTCTTTCTTTTTTATATTTTCTTTCTTTCTTTTTTTTCTCCTTTTCTTTTCTTTCTGCCATTTACTTTTTTCTTTCTTTCCTTTGTTTTTCTTTGACTTTTCACTGTAATTTCGTGTTTTTTATCGACGCCATTTTAACATTATTTAATAGTTCGTTCATTCTTTTTTTCTTTCTTTGATTTTCTTCTTTCAGTTTTTAATTTTCTTCGCTCCTTTAATTATTACTCCTTTCTTGTTAACTTCTTTCATGTTTCTTTTCTTACTATTTTTTATCGACACTATTTTAAGTTTCTTCCATTCCTTATTTTCTTCTTTCCTTCCCTCCTTCCTCCCTTTCCTTCTTTCCTTCCTTCTTTCTTACTTTCTCTTCTTACTCCTTCCTTCCGTTTCTCCTTATTTCCCACATTCCTTTTCTTTCTTTCTTTCTTTCTTTTCCTTACTTTCTTCTCTCATTCATTGACTTATTCATTATTTCTTTCTTTTTTCCTGCCTTCCATCTCTTTCATTCATTCTTTCTTTCTTTTTTCCATATCTTTCTTTCTTTCTTTTTTTCTTTTCATTCCTTTCCTCTCTCATTCATTGACTTATTCATTATTTCTTTCTTTTTTCCTGCCTTCCATCTCTTTCATTCTTTCTTACTTTCTTTTTTCCATTTCTTTCTTTCTTTCTTTCTTTCTTTAATTTTCTTCTTTTTCCTTTACTTCCTGTTACTCTTTTTCTACTTTCTTGTTTATTTTCACATTTTGTCTTCCCTTATTTCCTTATTAATTATTACTTTCTTTCATGTCTTTCCTTTCTTCCTTCTTTCTGTCTTTCCCTCTTTTATTTGTATATTCTTTGTTTCTTTCTTTATCACTTTCTTTGTTACACTTTCCTTTTCTCTTAGTGTTTTCTTTGATTACTTGTTTCAGTCTTACAGTATCTTCTTTCTTTCATTCGATGCTTTAAACTTATTTTTTCCTACATACCCTGTGTTGTTCTTTCTTCATCTCTTGTATTTTTTTTTTACTAAATTTTTCTTTCTTTCATTCTTTCTGTCTTTCTTTCTTTATTTATTTATTTATTTATTTCAATTAATTCTTTCTTTTCTTAATTTAAATATTTCGTTTAAGTCTTTTCTTTTTCATTTCATCTATTGTTCTTTGACCTTACTCTTTGTTTTATTTAATTCTTCGTTTTAATTCTTTCTTTCTCTTTCTTTCTCTTTTTTCTTTGATTTTCTCCCGTTTTCTTTATCACTCTTGCCTCATTTTTTTCTTTCTATATTTTTATTTTCTTTTTCTTGTTTGTCCTTTTCTATTTTTTAAATTTGTATTCTTTTCCTCTCCTTATTATACAAATTTTTCTTTCGTTTTCTTTTTCCTCGTCTGTTTCATTCTTTCTTTTTAATACGTCTTTCATCTTTCCCGCTTTTTTTATCAATCTTCCTTCCATTGCTTCGTTGTTTCTTTCTTTTTGTTTACTTTATTTTCTCTCCGTTTTTCTTTCTTTCTAAAATATCACATTAGTTTTTTTTTCTTCCTTCCTTTCTTACATAGGATTTTCTCATTTTTGTTTTTATTCTAATATAAAATTTTTACTTGTTTCCTTTATCTTCCTGTTTTTTGCATTCATTTTTCTACCTAATATTTTAATATGGATTTTATTTGTTTAATTATCTTGCTTTATTTTCTTTCTTGCTTTATTTTCTTTTTTTCTTTCTTTATTTCTTTCTTTCTTTCTTTCTTTAGTTCTTACACACAATTTACTTTTTTTTAATATTTTCTTTTGATTTCTGATATTTATTTTTCTTTATTTCATTATTTCTTTCCAATATACCGATATCACTTTTCTTTTCTTTCTTTCTTTCTTTCTTTCTTTCTTTCTTTCTTTCTTTCTTTTTTCTTTCTTTCTTTCTTTCTTTCTTTCTTTCTGTCCCATCACGATTAATATTCTGTTTAACTCTTTTACTTTTCTTTATTTTTCTTTCTTTCTTTCTTTCTTTTTTCTTTCTTTCTTTCTTTCTTTCTTTCTTTTTTTCTTTCTTCTCTCGCTCACTTTCTGAATTTCTTTCTTTCTTTCTTCCTTTCTTTTTTTCTATTTTTCTTTCTTACTTTCTGTCCCATCACGATTAATATTCTGTTTAACTCTTTTACTTTTCTTTCTTTTTTCTTTCTTTTTTCTTTCTTATCTCTCTCACTTTCTGAATTTCTTTCTTTCTTAGTCTCTTTCTTTCTCTCTTTCTTTTACATCATTTAGCCTCATTTTTCATACTTTCATTTTCTTTTCATTTTTTTTCTTCTTTCTTTAAAACCATTTTTATTTCCTTACCTTTCTTTATTTCCTATTTCTTATTTTTTTCTTTCTTTTTCTCATTCTCACACCCAACCTTTCTATTTTATTTCTAATATTTTCCCGTTTTTTCCTTCCTTTATTTTTTCTTTCTTTCTTTCTTTCTTTCTTTCTTTCTTTCTTTCTTTCTTTCTTTCTTTCTTTCTTTCTTTCTAATCTCTCGTATTTTTTTCATTCTTTACTTTTCTTTTTTTCTTATTCATTATTTCGACTCACTTACTTTCTTTCTTTCATTTTTTCATTCACTGTTTTTTCTTCTTTCTTTCTAATACGTTAATATCATTTTATTTTTTTTTACTTCTCTTCATTTTCTTTCTTTTTTCTTTCTTTCTTTCTTTTTTATTCTGTATTTTTCTTTCTTATTCTTTCTTTCTGACAACTTTCTCTTGTTTATTTCTAATCTAATATTTCTCTTGCTTTCTTTCCTTCTTTCTTTCATTTCTTTGTTTCTCATACACTAGTACCATTTTTCATTCTTTTCTTTCTTACTTCTTTACTTTCTTTTTATTTCTAGTATATTAGTTGTCTTTCTTTCTTACACACCATTTTCTCACATTTCTCTTTCTAATATAATACTTCCTCTTCTTTTTTCTTTCTTTCTTTTTTTTCTTTCTTTCTTTCTTTCTTTCTTTCTTTCTTAATATTGTGTCTGTTTCAAATTCCTCCTCCTTTCTCGTTTTTTCTTTAACTTTCTTTCCTTCTTCTTTTATATCTTACATCGTATTAATATATTTTTCTTCGCTTCTCTCTCTCTCTCTCTGCTAGCATTTCTTTCTTTCTTTCTTTCTTTCTTTCTTTCTTTCTCCATGCCTGCATGTGTGTCTTTTTCTCTGTTCTCGATTTTTGCCTCTTTCTCTTTTCCTCTTCCTTTTTATATATTTCATTGTATTACTCTTTTACTCTCTCCGCTCACACGTATTCTTTCTTTCTTTCTTTCTTTCTTTCTTTCTTTCTTTCTTTATTTATTTATTTATTTATTTATTTATTTATTTATTTCTCTCTATCTTTCTTCCTTATCACTGTTTCAAATTCCTTCTCCTTTCTCGTTTTTTTCTTTAACTTTCTTTCCTTCTTCTTTTAAATCTTACATCGTATTAATATATTTTTCTTCGCTTCTCTCTCTCTCTCTGCTTCTTTCTTTCTTTCTTTCTTTCTTTCTTTCTTTCTTTCTTTCTCCATGCCTGCCTATACGTCTTTTACTCTCTTCACGATTTGTCCCCCTTTCTCTTTTCCCCTTCTTTTTATATATTTCATTGTATTACTCTTTTACTCTCTGACTTGTATTCTTTGTTTGTTTGTTTGTTTGTTTCCTTCTTTCTTTCTTTCTTTCTTTATTTCTTTATTTCTTTCGTTCTTTCGTTCGTGTACACCTGAAGGCGTTCTTTATAACTTTCTTCAATAAATTTCTTTTTCTCTCTTTTCATTCTTCACTTCTACCTCCAAGCCTTTCTTCTTTCTTCCATTGTACCATTTTTTTTTGGTTACCTTTTTCTATGTATCTTTAACCTTTGCAAAGGCAAAATAAACAATATTTTCCTCCAATGATTTCGAAATTAAAATCCTCAAAACAATAAACAAAAGAGAAAGAAAGCTATGAGAAAACTGTGCCAGATAATAAAATAATAATCAAGTCTTGTGAAACCGAAGTCGTCTGCTGAGGGGGGTCGGGACCAGCAATAAGAATGTTTGATTGTCATGTCGGGGGTAGCCGTAAAGGTTTCGCTCTCTAACGCCCGGCAGGTAACGAAAGTAACAATTAGAAATAAAAATGATTTTGTAAAAGCAAAAAAATGTAATATTTAATAAGGACACAAAGGAATTTTTATGAATTAAATTAAATGTAAAACCAAAAAAATTGAGAATTCAGGCTATGGTAAACGGGGGTAAAAAAAAAAAAAAAAAATAGGCACAGATCATTTTAAAAATCAAAGGAAATCAAACATGAATGGGTAAAAACGACTTAGAAAGAATGTTTTATTTTATTAAAAAACAATAGGCTTGATAAAAGATTGAATAAAATGAAGATAAACATAAACAGTAACAAATATTAAACTTTAATTGAAACTCCATTTTATTTTCTCCTATTAAGTCTTATTTCTGCCATTTTCATTCTTCAACAACTGTAATTGCTACAATTGTATATATTTTCTTTGCTACACCGATGTTTTATTTCATACACCATATCCTTTTTTTATTTTTTAATCATTTCGGAATGCCACTAGTACGCAGGGGATTATAGAGAGTGAAAGAGAAAGAAATGCGTGCGTATAAGGAGGAATGATGAAAGCATAAAAGATGAACGGAATTCAAGAAAATAGAAGATGACAATTGACATTGCATTTAAATTGTCAAAGATTTTAGTTATCAGGGAAGCAAGGAAACGGAAGGGAGTTCCACATTCGAGAAACGAAACTTTTGGAGTAGAATTGGTGGTTACATTTACCTAATTCAACAATGAAATGGTGGGACCTAAGTGACAATCAAGTAGCACGTTTTAAACACAGGTATTCCAGCCACTAGTAAAAAAAAAAAAGCCCATGAGAGCAGTAGCCAGGTAAATATTTATATAAAAGACAGAGAGTCTCACCGTCGGTGAAAAAGTGACTAAAAGAACCATATTTATGTACATCCTTGCAGACCCACGTGAATATGGTTCTCCACAACTTCCGATTTACTCCTAAGTAGATTTTAACTGTTTACCATCCCTCTTTATATCATAAATTCTCAAATCGCTCTCTATGCTGATGACAAAACTATTCACTCCTGTCTTCAAAGTAATCTCGGACTGTCATGGCGAGATCGAATAACCCATGTTAATATCCTCGGTCGTACCAGTAATTCTCAAGGGACATAATTTCTCAAAATCCGAAACTTGACAAAAAGTAAAAGAACATAGTCTGTAAGAAGTCGACGATTTGTCGAACGATCAAGAAGGACATTGGTTACTCCTCCTAGTGCAAGTCTCACCGCATGGTCATCACGAATGCCTCCAAGGAGTTGAGGAAGGTCAGGGCGGCGGCTTTGCTGGACGAGCGCAAGCACAGGTCCGCCGGGATGCTGAGGTCCTTCTTTGATGAAAAGAATTTCATCCAGGACCAGACGAACAATGGGCAGAACGACAAGTGGATCTGCAAAGACATGGAGGAGGTTCCCGTCATGACGCATACGACGTATCCCTTTTCCGTCATGGTCCTTGGCGTCATCTCCAGAGGCGGGGTCTGTTCTTTTTTCAAAAGGGCCTGAGAGTCAACGCTGAGATCTACCAGGAAGTGCTGAGGGGCGTGGTGAAGCCCTGGATGGACGAGATCGCCGCCGGTCTTCTTTAAGTCTTCCAGCAGGACTCCGCTCCTATACACAATTCTAAGACCACCCAGGCGTGGCTGCTCGACAATGTTCCACACCACTGGTCGCCGGACTTGTGGCCGCCCTCCTGACCCGACTGCAACCCCCTTGACTATTTCTTCTGGGGAGTGATCGAGGCCAAGACCAGCAAGCACGCCCACAACACGGTAGACTCTGTGAAGGCTGCCATTGTGGAGGTGTTCGTTCCTACATATAAGGACATATTCGCCAAAACGTGTGACTCATCGTGCCCGCCTTGAGATGGTCGTCGCCGCCGCCGGCGGTTACATTGGAAAATAATGTAATATGTAACTCTGACTGTTGCTAAATAAACTGTCGGCTCTCTGCATATACAACTTTTGTTTTTATTGCCTACTTCGTTTTCTTTTTGTCAAGCGTCGGATTTTTCTGCAACACCCTGTACATTGTTATAATAGAATATTTTCCAAGACAGAAAAGTTGCCACGAGAAAAAATCTATTAATAGCTACAAAGGGCGGTAAATAGTGAAGAGGAATGGTTTTTCAGGAAAATCGATTTCTCAAATCCAGTAGCTGCTTTCCAGTATTGATGGGATTTTCTTCCTAACCTTTTATTTGAAGGGGTGTGAAAAGCTAACATCTTATTATTTTCTCTTCGAGATACACATGATACTCATGTAGTTATTTTCCAAGAATAGCTTATATGTGGCACAAGGCCGAACGTATTGGCCAACCAGTGAGGACCAAACTCACTACTGTGACATGCTTGCTAACCATTACACCACATCAAGGTGCCCTGATACCCATGTAAGTTGTTGCTGTTGTCATCAACTGTTGTGGTTTATGTTATCTTGTACAATTGTTACCTTGGGATTATCTAGCACCAGTGTACTTTATGTCTATTCTGACCATTACTAATGAGTATAGTATTGATGGAGCCGGGGGGTTCTTATATGTGCACTTGTTTCAAACTAAGTTACGGAAATTCTGGTGAATGTTTGTACCAAAATGAAACAACTATGGTCTGAAAGGGAAAATAAAAATTGGTGGTAATCATAATAATGATAATATAAGCCTATAAGGTAATATTTGGCATTCACTGACCGAGCAGCCAGTACTGTTTTAAGTTAAATTTTATAAAATATTTTCCTTAAAACACTCTTTTTAGGAAAAGAGGATTCTCAAGTACAGTAGTTGTTATCGCTCTTTCCATTATTGATGTGAGTTTCCTTCCTAGCCTTTTGTTTCAAGTCGTGCGGAATATCCTGATATTTGTCTTTATTTTCTCTTCGAGTTACATGCTATGTAAATTATAGTTGTTTCTGCTGAAGGTGGTCCTCTAGGGATGTCGTTTCTGTTATTTGGTACAGTTCTTTGTGATTCTGTAGCGCCATTCCACAAGGTTCAAAGAAGGATGATCTTTGCCAAGGCCCTCAGGCTTTATTTGCTCAAAATCGTTTTTAGAATTTATCTTAGGAAGCGCTTGTATACAACTGTTTAGACATTTCTAAAAGGTTTGGCTCCACGCATATGAAAGTCTCGATTTGGCGAGGCTATTTAAGAACATGACTCGAGATTTCAGGTTAATATTTTAGTTTCATAGCAATTTGAAGCGTTAGACGAACATAACCCTACCACAGCATATTCGTTGTTCAATGTCTTTATTTCAATTTTCTATATCAATTTGAGTCCTGTTTTTTTAATTTAGAAGACTTGAGGATGTTTTTTCATGGATGATTCATACGTTGTTTAAAGTCTTTAGTGTTCACTGGTTCCACATTCTTTAGTTTTATGATGGGTTCAGGGTAGTGTCATCGCTGCTTTCGTTCCAATTCCAGATCATAATTTCTGTTTTCGAAAGCTTTATCTTGAGTCCTATTTCTTTAGAACACTTGAGAGAGGATGTTTTTTCATTTTCAAGGTGGATTCATCACTGCTTTCATTCCAATTTCAGATCATCATTTCTGTTTTGGAAAGCTTTATCTTGAGTCCTATTTCTTTAGATCACTTGATAGAGGATGTTTTTATTTTGATGATGGATTCAGGGTAGGTGTCATCACTGCTTTCATTCCAATTCCAGATCATAGTTTCTATTTTGGAAAGTTTTATTTTGATACCCAGTTCTTCTTTTGCAAACTAATTGCCATAGTAAGATCGAATACCGCACGTCAATATTCTTTAGCGTACCAGAATTGAGGGTTTTCATCCAGCGACAGCCCAGATAGATTGGTCATGTTATCAGGATTCCCGAAGACCTTCTCCAAATAAGGACCCTATATGAAGAACTTGGAAGGCAAGTGATATGTTGGAGGATAGAAGAAGAAAAAACGTTTCAATTGCCTCCTGAAATTAATGCTAAAACAATGCAGTGTTAATCTTGCGGAAATGGAAGTTACAGCAGTAAATCTCAACAGTTGGAGGACGCTATGTTTTCAGGCCATTGACAGATTTGAAACTCGTCGAACTCAAGACCAGGAATTTCGCCGGCAATAACACCATGACCGTCCAGTGCATAGGCCACCACCTCCAGGTGTTGGCATTCAGTGTCCAACCTTTGGACGACAATGCGCCTCTCAATTTGGTCTTCGCAGACATCAACGCCAACATAATGTCACCAACCAGTCATTTTGTAGAGCAGACATCATCGCCATCAAAGGTCTTCCTAATGTTCATGATTCCTGTCTTATTTGTAAAGTCTTCTCGATTCGATTAGGTCAAATTGCAGCCCGACCTCAAAAATGATTTACAATCTGTTGTTAATTGGGGCGAGTAAATACTAATTACTAGTATTTACTGTTACAGTTTCTTCATAGCTACGTAACGCCATTTTAAACTCAGTGAAAGTTAGTTGTTTATCTTTTTGAGTTATAACTGTCGCGAATGGTTTGAATGACGGTGGCAAGCCCTTCAAGACCAAGGCTATTAGCAGCCCATACGAGATAGTCTCTCCTGCTA